GAGGCTGCGATCAAAAGACACTACCACCTGTAGACCGCTACTGGTAACTGTGCAGGATACAGCCCAGGTCAGACATGTGCTTAAGGCTGCGAGAAAACTAAGTGAATTCATTGAGTTTAATTCAGTCTTTGTTAAGTAGGATGCTACCCCTTTAGAGAGAGAAAATTTTCGCAAGAAATGGCTGGAGAGACTCAGGCGGAAAAGCATGGCGAAGTCTGCGTGGGGACCTCATTGAAGCATACAAGTATACTCATGGCTTATACAAGGTCCCAAAAGGATTACTATAATTTGATAGAACCAACACCAGGGGCCACGGCTATAAACTAAAAAAAAGCGTTGGAATTTGGAACACATCAATGCGACAACATTTTTTCTCGCTTCGAGTCACCGACATGTGAGGGTGGCCCAGTGGTTAAAAGTTCAGTGTACCAAGATTGGCGCAGAGAGGCGCGGGTTCGATCCCAGCTCTCTGCGCCAGTTTCTGGTCAGAATCGGCAAGGAGCCCGGGCGGTTAAAGCAAAAAGCAAAATTGAAGCAGTGAGTTGTGAGTTCAAGCCCGCAACAAGCTGTGGATGTTCTGCAATGTTTAGAATCGGTGACAGGCCTCCGGCCTAATAAACGCTGAAACCGCTATATTATTATTATATTATGTGGAACAGCCTCCCTGCGCGATAGAATCGTTGACGCTCCGAGTATAAACATCTTCAAAAACAGACTAGACGAAGGTATGCAGGAGCATATGGTCAGTCTTAAAATGCCTAGCAAATTACGGATCAGGCAAGAATTCCAGCAGCTATTTCAAGCAATCCTCGGTTATGGAAAGATCGAGTTCCAAAGGCCGGATCCCCTGTGAATCAAGTCATGAAAAGTTCAAGAATCGGCAACAGGCCACGGGCCTATTTCTTCAATACCGACACTTCTATTCTATTCTATAGGACAAGTTAAGCTACTGGCCAGGAGGATTCTATCAAATTAATGTTTGGTAGAAACGAGTTTGCTGAGTCACATTACAGACAATTTGCTACGAAGACACTTTAAGAACGTGAAAAGGATAAGTCACGATAAAATTACTCACTATTTTTGCTTTTTCTACGTGTCACATCGTTGTTTATCCCGGTAACAGTGGGCCCATCGACGCTTCTCTAACCGCCAAAAATTTCGAATAACCCGGAACGCGCATGTCCGTGTATGCGGATACTAAAAAACAATTAAAACTAAAACTAATAATAATACTAATGCTGGGATTTATCCCAGCAAAATGTGCTCAATTTTTTGGCGGTCACTTTGCAATGAATTATTCCGCCTTTCTTTTATATTTAGTGGATTATGACTTATAGTATAACTTTTAACATATCATGTTCATTTATTGCGTGCCACGCAACGGATGCAATGAAGAAGAGCATACGATAATTTTGTTGCAGGTGCATAGCGTGGTTCACCGTGAAAACAGTTATGTTTACCCTATTTTTTCTATCGTTTGGGTTACGTTCATAGAAAACGTTTCTATGTAGGAATTTCTCGTTGGGGACTATAACTTTTCAGCACATATTCTCCTGGAATATTTCCTTGCCGCATCTCGCATGGTTTCGGATTTCTGCTATGTAACAAATGTAAGTATGTGTATGATGGCTTTAAAAGCATTTAATTACTCGAAAAGTCACGTGTTAAACGTTCACGTTTTTTAGAAAAATTATATTTCATAACACTGACAAACCAATGACTACTTCCTAGTTTGTTAAGTTTTGGAAATGGGTTTCCGCCTTTAAATATTGGCATGACTATGTGCCTGTGCGAAAATTACTGGTGAAAACAACCTCACACCATTTATATGAATGAGAATATTCTCTGTGTGATGTACAATACATGATAGGAGGCATCAATAAACTAAATTTTTTAGGAAATAAATCATATTCACCAGCAGCAGGTTCAGTTTTACCGCATTAAAAGTAATTGCTTCAACCGAAATAAGTTTTAGTAGACGCATTGCCTCTATAAATTACCACGTTTGGAAATTTTGTGAAGAAAACAATTCGATGAAAGCTATCATTCAGTACAATATTAGTATGCAGCTTTCAAATGAGGGGAGCACAATGCATAATATTTCGTAAATAAATCTAAAATAAACGATCGTAAAATCGTTAATCGCGGAAACATATACTAAAGGCCATGATAATATGTATTAGTTCCTCATGCCGCTTACCTATAGAGAAAATTTATATATACGCCAAATAATTAATGAATGAGCGTAAAATTAATTAATGATCTGATGAGCAAGTGGGGAATCTTGATTCAGCATTAGATATACAATTATATATTTATACAATTAAATGAATTAATATATATATTATATGCAGATATTACAATGATTTATTTATACAATTAATATTTAAATATATTATACGCAGATATATACAATTAATGGATATAGCTTTTCTGCGAATAATCACTTCGAACTGGCAGTTCTCACTTCGACAACTCGTCCGAGTTCTTGGTATCCAGAACCGGCGTGCCCTTGACGACGGTTCCGCCTTATCGACGTCCCCGGCAGCTATCGGGCAGATTAAGAAGGTTTTGACTCGGACAATGGAACTGACTCTCTTTCCGCATTTTCTTCAAAAGGTGGAAGTATCAATATATATATTTATTTATCTTGGCAACTTGATTAAATTTAATTAAATTAAATTTTTATGTTTCTAATTTTTCATTTGCATAAACTGAATTTTAATTATAAAGAAAAATTTTGTGTACTGATTGCATTTATTGAATTCTTCAAGTGCGATTTAAACCTTCAATAGGCAAAATTTGCAAAAATTCATGGAAATAAATATATTGTATAATACTTCTTACTTTCTTGAAATGGTTTCTGAAATTTTAATTTCTGGATATTTCAATGCTTGCCCGCTAAAGGGTTAAGGTTCGGGCGCGAGGAGTCAAAACCTTTTGTGATTGCTAATGACGCTCGATCATCGGTCGTTTTCAACACAAGCACCGACACTCAGAGAAAAGGATGAGATTTTGTCTAAATATGAGAGATTTTGATTTTTTATGAGATTTTTTCTAAATATGTGAGATTTTGATTTTTGATGAGATTTTGTCTAAATCTAAATGAGATTTTTTGTTGGGTCCTATTGACCCAGGTTTGCCTGGCAAAACTGAGTATCAGTGTCAGATCCAATTTATATGGTGGTGCCGTTGCTACAAAATTGTCTTATTAATTGGAAAATATTACCCATTCATCTTTACGTTTACCGTTCAAAATGATGAGAGCTGTTTGAATATCTTAAGGGTATGAGATTCAGACTTAAGGGCGGCAACGCTGATTTAAATTAAAGCATTGCTAATAAGTCTCGGAAACTAAATCAATCCTTTATGTACAGAAAATGCAGTCAGATTTAAATTTTGAACTCAATAAATGAACATTCACGAGCGTTATCACAATGATATTCAATAACAATGACTGATACTTATTGCTCGCGAATTGATACAAAGCCACATTTCATGTCTAATAAATTACCTAAGCATTAGCAATGATACATATAAATGAAATTATAAATTAATCAAAATATTTCACCAAATGTCAGGCATAGTTTGGTGCACAGCTGCCGCTGGCTGCCGTATCGTTGCAGCGTGCCTAGCAACGGTGGCATATCAACCATCGAGCGCCACCACCACAAGCCATGTCAGCCGTGGATTGATTATTTCCATGTTGCGTAGCATTTTAACTATTCAGTAATCAAGCAAAACATTGAGAAAAAGAGTAAAGAAAACTGCATATTTTTAAAAATAATTGTATGCAATAAATAAATTTGATTTATTCAAATGCCAGATCGAACAAATTCGCATAATCGTAAAAGTAGTGTAATTTCGGTGTAAAGATATCAATTGGAATTCAACTTTTGATAAGTCATTTGGGAACAATTCCTCGAATTCCTGGCTCTTTCGATTCCAGATAGTACGAGCCGTTCATGACAACAATGGCGATAAAATATTCATGCCTGAACGTGCTAGCACACCACGCACACAGACGGATTTCAACGTTACTACGACTTACAATTGTTGAGGTAATGCAGAAATAAAAAATTATAATTAAAAAAGCTTTGGTTTCAATTAAATTATTACGATGAAAGAATTTTCTTCCAGCGTAGCGATGTTAAATGAATATCGAAGTAACAAACGCACACGCGGCAGCCCCGCGTACACTACACGAGCGCGGAGGCAGGTTTGGTGCCTACAGAGTGCCAAGTGGTGGCACTGCATCGACAGCTCTGCTTGGCACTCCTCCATTGTAGTATAATGCGTTGTGTGTTGGATTAACGTTCGTTAATATAACTCGCGTTAGAGTTTGTAATTGTATCTCCCACATCTCGTAAGTGGTGAAGTTCTAATCACGTTTGTTGAGCACTTAGATGTGTATGAAGTGCATGCAGTGCTGAAAATATTTTCGTGTTGGCGGCTCTGTATTTGGATCGCTGAAGAAAAGAACTGATTATGATGTGCGAAGCAGGATGTAAGCATAACATTCGGAATATCAAGGTTATGTGAATAATTATTTTCGGGCTCTCAAAGTTCGGTGTCTGTGAATTTGCCTGCTATCCAACAAAGCTTCAAAATCGATAGAAGTTAGATCGAGAAACTAATAGCTTGACGGATTTAACATTTGATTCAGAATAAATTACGTATGTGATCGTCCATTGATATGTAAACCAATGTTCAGTCTACCACTTTTAATTAAATTGTGATTTTGGTTATAGCAATGTTGATAGTGTGTCGATTTTCTCACTTGCCTTTAAAGTAATCAAATTTAAGGGACATAACAGCAACTCCCAGAGAAGAGATTTTGTGCTCTTTCATTATCACAAAATTAGATTCAGAAGTGAAATTTTGTTTTTTAAGTCTTAAAATGTTCTTTCAAGCTTAAAGTGAAACTCTGCAGCTGGTAAACTGTATAAATTATTAATCATTCCTTTTCAAAACAGAAAAATCAGCTTAGTCATCGCACTTGTGTTATATACAGGCTTTGGAAGAATTTTATTGACATTTTCTTCGCCCGAAGTATTACTAACACTTTTAAAAATAATTTCAAATTCTATTCTTCACTTATATATTTGGACCAAATTCGTACGCATAAAATTCAGATTAAAAATGATAGCTGATGTTAATAATTAATTATACAGAAAGTTCATTATTCACAACATTTTCAACCGTGGAATTACTTCCTGAAAGCTAACTCTTTCATTAAACGAGAAGTTAAAACTGTAATGAAAATTATATAGTGTACAAATATCGCAAAAGAACACCTATTAAACCCACGGATTGTATACCTCAATCGGCCAAAATGTCTTCATTGTCACGAATTAGTCACTTTTGTATGCATTTATGATTCATCAAGATTTGAAAATTTAGTAAAGATATGTGAATTAATTAATACAAATATTTTGAAGTAAATCGTTAAGGGGATAAAAGTGGTTATTCATTCGGAGCACATGCCATCTACATGCCCGCGTTAACCAACAGCTCGAGCAGTGCAGTGTTGCTTAAAAAGGTGGGTCGTAGGTGCTTTGGGTAGGAATAACATACTCGTATCTTAGCGCGTCAAATTTTACCATCCGAAATTTGAAATATTATGCTAAAAATAATAAATTAAAATATTCCTAATATTCATATTATTTTAACATCCATTATTAACAGTTTCATGTCTGCGGAATCTTTACTTCTTCCGAATGAATTTTTCTTCCTGATCTTCTTAAATGATACTACTATATGAGCTATATCTATAAAAAAAATTATCATGGCTCAACATTTTCATGTCTGCTGAATCATTACTTCTTCATTATTATTTTTTTCTGATCTTCAATGATAAAACTACATGAACTATAATAACTATGAAAAATTACCATTACTCAAAGAACTTTATCTCCCCAGACGCTTGTAATCATGACTAGTGGCACTCGCCGCGCACCGCGCCATGTCCATCAACGAAGGCGGTCGAGTCTCGGCGACGTCTAGCGGGCGAGGCTCACTTTACTCTTCTGACAGCCAGCGGCTGCAATTGTCTCGACAGCCCGAACTACCGGTGAGGTACAGTCGTGTATTGCGATGATATATTGTTCAACAATTATGCAATAAATTGAGAAAAGACTTCCGAAGTTTTTGGTATAAAATCATTATACATTGGCTATGTACAGATTTATTTTGGCGATAATCGACCGTGACACTCTTGCACCAACGTTTGTTTTCTCAGTCCGGCACAGAATTATACCGAGAAAACGCCACTGCAATCAAACAATGCGAAGAAAATTGTGGATACTGCCAACTTCAATGTCCAAACTGCTCATCCTACGCAGTACTTTCCGTGCAACGAATCGATGGTAAAGTTCATCAGGTCTGGACTATCTTGGACAAGCCCTCTGTCAGTAAGAGCTCAACGATTGAAAATAATAGACTTCGATATAATACTGGAGTGAAACCTGATGTAAGCCAAGCTGAATTTAGCAATCAAAACTCCAACGAACTTCTTCTTAACGTAGCGACACTTAGTTCACGACGTGCTATTCAATTGACCCCATATAAAAGTAACGCAGACTTAGATGCATCTGCCCCACCTTTAAGCAGACCTCAGAGCTCTGACTCGGGACTGTTCGACTTGTCGGAAGGACGACCGGTGCCCTTTGCAAAGCGCCTCTGTATCGAAAGCATTGCCAAGTACAGTTATTCCCTTTCACAAGCCAATAAAAATAACAGAGTTTCTCCAAGTAACCTAAGTGAGATGTCTGACGCCGACGAAAATTCTTCCCGTAAATCATCGGCAAACTCAATGAGACCTTCCTCCGTTAGAGAAGACTCGCCTATTGTGAAAGAAATGAATAATAATCCGATCGAAGGAGGTTATGACCTTAGTCCAACTCCAGCGGATATTGTGACCATACCAGAGGAGCCTGCCGAGGAACAAGAAGTTCAAAGACAAACTGAGAAGATCAGAGTTACGAACCCTTTTGAGGATGGGTACGAAGAACCTAATCAAGGCAGTCCTAAAAATCTTTCGAACAGCGAAAGTATTTCCAAAAATCCCTTCGACGAGGAAGACCAAAATCCGTTCAACACAGAATCGCCAACATCTTCGTCGTCTATTCCTCGACTGAGCTCTTCTAAGTCTCGACAAAGTGTGTCCTCTCCATCAACAAGGCAATGTTCTAACATATTAGATGTACGAAAACTTATTCATCCGGATAAAGTGTTTCCCATGGACACACACGACCCTTTGATTGCCACAGAGAATGGGATGTTTGACCCCGAAGCAAGCTTTCGTCAACCGAGTATAGTTTCCTCAACAGGCCCAACTGTATTTTCGAAAACGGCTCAGTTATTAAAGCATGTGCTGATAGGGGCTGCTGTAGTCATCTTGGTCGGAGTTTTGGCCATGTTTGTGGCCTCACTAAGTAAATCAATGATGAGGTAATTTGGATACATGACTCGAGGTTCAGTATATGTGAACGTTTGAGAGGCCATGATATGAAAGACTTGATCTGACGAGGACACAAATATTTGAAGATCTCATGGTCAAGTTCTTGAAAAAGTTAATGCGGATAAACGCGTCAAGCAACTGACGAAGAAAGCACGAACTGCTGCTACTTGGACGCTGATAACCATGTTGGCTTGATTGCTTGATATTATAAGTAATCAAAGATTCTATTTGTAACAATAATAATGTGATATGATCCCTATTTTTCTTGGAATGCTCGCAATAAATATAAATAAGGTTGTGCCTTATAGAATGTACTCGAATTTTGTAAACCTTCGAACTGTTTTTCCTGCATTTAGGTAAAGGACTTAGTACGGTTTCTCTTAAAATTTAAACTTAGATTTCATTCGAATTCATTCTTTGTTTAGGCTCACATTTGACAAACTTGAATCGCAATTAAGATGCTTGAAGTGTTCCTTTAGCGAGCGTTGCGTCACTTGCTATTACATAGAATTAATTAATTCTCTTGGGAGAGTGACATGTATTTAGATGCATTTTTTGTTGTGTAAGAGTCATGAAGTTGAAGTGTTTCGAAATATACATAACGGGTGATAGTCAGCGTAGAATAATGATGAAAACTTAGATAAAAATTGCGGTTAGAATTGAAAAATGTGCAAAGAAACTGGCCAGGCCGTGCATGAAATCACAATAATGTTGTCTCACAAAAAAGTTAACGATTATCATCATATTAACTATTATTTTGCATTTTGTTATTGTTAATCTCTCAGACTATTTCGCTGAATGCATTCCCATACTCCAGGAATAATATCTTACTGGCAAATAAATTAATCTACGGGGTTTGCTCCGTATATTTAGGTATCTCAATCATGTCTCAATTTTCAACAAACGCTGTCTTCTATCAAACAACGAAATTTGATAATGAAGAAGCTCATCCAAAACTTAGCTATATTGCAATAATAAGAAGTTTATGGCAGCTAACTGTCGTAGTAAATGATTTATTGATAAAACATATGAAATTTGTGGTTAATCAAAAATTCGGCTCCATTTCAACATTTTCGTGACTATTTGAACAGTTCAACATTTTCATGACTAGTTGAACAATTCAACATATACATGACTAGTTGATCAATTCAACATTTTCATGACTATTTAGTCCCTCACTGCGTTAGTCGAGTAGAATAGAAACATTTGCCTCTGGTCTCAAATAAATCTCAATTAAATTAAAAGTATAAAATTTAGTTTTTGGTGCATATCGTCTGTGAGATATTGTCGAAAATCATAGAGGAACTCAAATTATCATGAACATTCCTACTGATGAACCGAATGTCACGATAACTTTCAATTATCAAAGCTTTATCGCGGATATGGAAGATTTAAAATTGATATTATAGGTGTGTTGAGAGTCAGCCAGCATCAGGCAATTAAACGTCAAATGAATCATACACACGAGCGTCCAAATTTCAAATAACTGCTTTTAAATACGTAAAAGAAAGTATTTTGAATGTGAAGTTTAGCGCGAATTCCAGTCAGTAGAGCGATCACAGAGCGATCAACAGGTTTAGGGAAAGAGAAGAGTATGGAAATTGGTACAAAATATTTGTTAATAAAATTGAGATAATTTAGAACTGGGAAAGCAATTGTTCCTTCATTTAAATCATTTTTAAATTTAATCATTTAAATGTTCCATTTTTAAATTTAAACCTTCTATTGGTGCACAACAGAAGAATGTTCTCTGTTATACAATATCGATTTAAAATCGGAGAGCAGGCAAAATATGGCCAGCTAACTAATGCAGTGAACTGTTGACCCAAAAAGTTTCAAATTATTTTCATGTTAAATTAGAACAAACTTCAATAAAAATCAGCCAGATGCAGAGTTTGATTTTAAGAAATGAGCTGTGTCTGATTGTTGGTGATTCAAAATGTACCATGAGTACTGTTCATCATTATCACATTCGTTTAAGTCCTTATTAGTTAGGTCACTTAAATGCTGTTGTTCATGTGTAAGTGCGAAAGAATTGTAAATTCAGCCACATTTGTTGTATCTTTGTATCTAATCTGCCTAATAGTGAAGTATCGAATCAATATTTAGAGCTGTAAATATTTTCCTACTACAGATATAAGTTTTTAGGTTATTATTATTGATCGAATTGCCATCTATTCTGAATATTTTTCAGTTTACCCTAGAAGGAAAGAAGAAAACTTATGAAAGAAAAGATTATCTCCAAGGCATACTCATGAATGTTGATATGAGGCTCTTTAAATGGATTGAATATGACAAACAAATTTATTGGTTGAAAGGCCTGATCCAAGAATTTATCAGCTCTAGATTTATCAATAAAAAATGTGAATAGATTGTAGAAAAAAAATTATATATATTATTATTATCCTGCTACGGTTGGTTCAGCAGACGGCTAACGGCAGTAAGTGATATTGAATATCATATTTGTATACAATGCACGGGTGTCCGTCCATATTGGACCGGTATTCCTCCGACATATGCAGTATAACTTACCGAGCGCGAATTTATATTAAGGCATAGTCTTTCATTAGTAATTTTTGTAAACATGAGAAATAAAAGTTGGCATTGTCTTAGAGAATGGCCACATCATTGGAAACAATAGAGTTTGGGGACAAGAAAGCTTCTAGACTCACAGATTTTCTCTAGTTCATTATCATAATGGAACTTATGACAGACACATTATTTGTGTAATATTTGTCCATGTGCTTCAAAGCACCTGGGTAACCAATGATCAAATTATGGATGACTACAATTCATATTCTATAATATACAACTATAATCGAATTCTATAATAATCATTGTATTTACGATTAGTTTAATTTAACAATTGTTCGAAATGAGCCTCAGATCCATGCATGCTCGCACGTTCGCGATTATAAAATGGCCCTGACGCTGTTTTACATAAGGAAACTGAAAAGATTAGCCAATCATAGAGGATTGAATATATGTATGTTTCAATTAAAATTGTCTGGTAATTAGAATTATATAACATCATTAGAATGACTTATTTGGTGCAGGTAAATTACTGTTGAATTTGGCATATAGCTTACCGACATCTGTCTTAGCCAAATACCGACCAAATACCGTCTTATACCGACCTCTGATCCTCAGAATTCATGTAGAATTTTCAGTGCCCATGGGCATTGTTTCTAAGCGCCTCGATACAGAGATCGCAAGAAGATTATGCAAGAAAATGCGTATAGTTAAGTGAAGATTCCATGAACTTCAATTCTTCGTCTCTCTCGTGCTTCTCACTGTCTCGGCGTATTTTATTCTGTACGTGTTTCTGTTAATCTCCCCTTTTCTATTTTCATATTTGCGCGATGTTAGCGCTTTTTCTTTTGTCCAATCTTCATCGCACCATCCCTTTGGGACCGACCGGCTCATCAGGGTGTTGAATAATTCAGTATTCAAGACATTGGCGATGATAGACACTTTCCGCCTCGTCGATGCGAGAAGCTTTTTTGTTTCATGGCTTCTGATGCGGGATAGTTTCGAAATCTCGTATCAATTTAAATTTTAATAGAAACTAGGTTTTCGTGTATAATTGCATTGTAGATTTTATTATTTCGTGCACTCAATTAAAACAACTGAATGACTTGATGTGTTCCCAGAATTTAATGAATTCCAGCATAAAGTACCGAATTATAATTCAGCATAATTCACTGAAACATGATGTCGGACCCATTCAATAAACAAAATTTTAGATTAAGCCTCAGTGACCGGTGAAAGATCCTCCGGCCTAAGATTTAACTATTCCCGGAAAAGTACAATGATAATTACAAATAAAAACCATAATGTTTGAAGGTTTTTGTGACGAATGTTTACGAAAATGACTTACTGCCGAAAAACTCGCGTAAGTATGTACACGTAACCATGGTTGAACTATTTAAGGTTGACCCAGGCTTCGGGAAATTTTTGCACTGCTCTGTGCACTTTCACCGTGACGTCACATGTATCAGAAAACGTAAACAAATGTTGTGAGTGTCGTCAAACATTTGTTAAAAGTGTCTGTTTTGAGCTAATAAGTTGACAATTTCAAATTTTGTAAAATTTCATCCATATTTGCTAAAAGTTTTATTCCTGACCAAACCAGCAAAATAAATTAATTTTGTCAATTGTAAAATAAATGAACGGGAAACAAAATCGCCGGGGGCTGACCTATCAACTTTGTGCTTCGCTAATGGTTGCCCTCAGATCAACCGTCTGATAATATAAAAATATAACTCAGTACTCACTGCAGTGAGTGACAGAGAGCGCATTTTCTGGTCGACGAAAACATAAAGTCACGGGCGGACAGACGGACGGACAGACGGCCATGGCGAGCACAATAGTTCATTTTTTCATAAATGAGAAAATGCGCTAAAAAGGAAAGCGTCCCCAACCAAATTCAATTTTCGTCGGATGATTGGGTTTTAGCATATCTTTGATTGATATTATTCATTGCTTTGACACTTTCGATGCATCTCTCCTAAATTTCAAATCGATATAATATGATTAATTCTTTCACTGTTTTGCAATTTTATGTCGCCTATAAACTGGAAAGTAAACTAGCATCAGAGTGATAAATTAAATATATGTTTTCAACCATACACGTAGTAACCTAAACAAACAATGTGACCTAAGCACAAGTAACACCTGGTTTCTACTTTGTGATTGATAGGTTTAGCTAGAAAAGCCGATGGTAAAGAGCTAAAATGCCTTAATGAATGCTCATTAATAAACTCCTTATTATAAGGCTTTTATAAAAGGAAAGATGGTTAAAGCGTTTAAAAAACAGACAGTCAACTAGAGTCCGTCTGCCTGTCAGCCTTAATCAGCAAGCCAGCCACCCGATCAAGACTGTGGCGCCATCTCAAACAGTGTCGAAATTTCAAAAGAAAATAACTTACGAGGCAGCCGTCCATCTTCATTTATAGCAAAGTTTTTATTTGTCTGTGGACGTAATTTGCAAGGAACAGAAACTGACAAGGACTTAACCTCCTGGCAAACAGCTGGCGTTCAAAGGTTTTATATTCACAGGTGATAAAATAAATAAAAGCATCTATTCAAATTATAAGAAAATACCCCTTAAGACAATTTTGAATTAAATTAAATTTTTCACCGTATTCAAGCTTTGCGTATTCGTTCATAGATGGCATCAACTCACTATAAAACTCATGACCAAGGAAAATTTTCTACGTTATCCCAAACTTAAATCCGATGAAAAATAATTAAAACAATTGTAAAATTTTTTGAGATTATTTTTAGCCCTTACTTAAAGCCGCTTATATTGTGCCGCATTATACATCATCGTCGAATTTTCCATGGGATTCAAGCTGCGTCAAATGCCAGGGTCATATAAATGCAGGTCGTTGTGGTGTCCCTTAGCAGTTATGGCTAAATTAGCTCTAATTACTCCGGTTGGGTAAATAGGGGACAATAATGGGCTACGAGGGAGCAAATTTTCCTTATTAAGGATGTTATGACATTTTTGTGGGAACTTTGTGGACACGCAATCAGTTTAGTTTGCAGTCCATGGGATACATCCAACTCTTTTCAAAGAAAGATTGCGGCAATGATTAATTTTAACCGCTCTCATTCCAAAATAACAAATTCATTCGTTTAAACAAAAAATCACCAGCAAATTTTCGAATTATATCTTTCTCAGTTCTATATGCTGTTTGAAATTTAGGGGCAGTGATTTTCAGCTCAGAGCTTTTTTAGAGAACGTCGGATGACGTGACTTATTCACAGCAGTGACACGCGTGCAAGTAACTCACGCGTGCCGAAATCTCAATGGAGAAACAGCACGTGAGCAATAGAGTATTGGTGGGAACAGTATTGATAAAACCTTACACAGAGACGCAGTCTTCTTTGCTTGAAATTACAGATGATTTGGTTTTATTAGTATGATTCGGTTTTATTCTAATCAATAACATTACTAAATTCATTGGATCGTATGGTAAATCGATAAATTTCCTTAGAATTTTAGTCATGTTATCTATTTTAGTTCCCTGGCACCAGTGAAGCAGGATAATATCCCTGTACTATGTACCTAAATGTACTAGTAGCAAAGTATTCCTGGATCGAAAACCATTATGCACATATAATATTTGTTTGATTTTTTTTAGTCCTAATTAAGTTGGTGCGCTAAAAGATAACATTATTAGAAACATGATTACGTTTATGCCTATCTTTAAAAAAAATCTAAAATAAACGTTGACATTAAAATTTACTTCCTTTGTTCGTTATGAGTTTTTTTGATGCTGCTCAAATACGGTGCATATCAAAATCCTTTATTCGTAATTCAGCTCATATTTTTTGCTGCCGGTTTAAAACAATCCATAAGAATGTTTATCTAAAGCAGATTAAATTGTTGCAAGTTATTTTTGTTTTTGCTTTCGATTGTGTCAAAAGCCTGTCTCACACTCACTTGGTTTTCAGTCTCAATGTAAACTTGCAATAGCTTGCAAAAGTTTGAACATCATTTATAAACTTTAACAGAAACTATTAATAAAAAGATTCAAGTCGAAAATTTAACCCAAAAAACTAAATTTAATTAAATTCCATGCATAAATGTACTGTAATATGAAGAAAACTGAAAAGGTCTGGCAGAAATGTTTAATACAAAGATTCAAGTCAAAATGTTTACTCCAAAAAACGAAATAGAATTAAATTCCATGCATAAATGTACTGTAATATAAAGAAAACTGAAAAGGTCAAGTCGTTTGGTAGTTTGAATGCACATCGAGTTCGCTCTCATACGGCACACAAGAGTGAGGGTCATAAGGCAAGTCAGGTCTAACACTGAAGTAAGTCAGTGCGCTTCTGGAGCTGGTCCTGGGAGGGTGTCGAGAACCTCTGCTCCAGCCGCCTTGACTGTGTCACTGTATTGCTACTGCTCGCATTTCGGCCGGTCAAATTGTCAGTTTACCCAAATTCCTGAGACTCAGTGGTAACCCCTAAGACTTTTGTGCTCAATACGATCACTGAGGATTTAATAAGACTATGACGATAATTTTTAAATTATATAATGTTTGAAAATGAACTTGAATAGATTTCGATTGGTCAAAAAACCTGAACAAGTGTCACGGTAGGTGATATGGACGAGCTATATTATGAACAGACGAGTGTTGGACCTGCAATGAAAGATGAGAGAAACTACTTGCTACTGTAGTGTAGTGTGCGAGAGTACCGCACTCCAAGTAATCTAAAAACAATGCATAATTTTCCACAAAAGTAAATTGCTAATTATTTACCACTTAGTTAAAAAGTAAATTCTTAATTAGTAAATTACTAATAAAATAAATTGCAAA